AACCGCTACACTACCGCTACCCACACACACACGCACGTGCACACACACAGACACGTGCACACAGACACGCACATGCTACCCACACACACGCGTCCACACACACACACGGGCACACAGACACGCATGTGCTACCCACACACACACGCACGTGCACACACACACGTGCACACAGACACGCATGTGCTACCCACACACACACACGTGCACACACACACGTGCACACAGACACGCACGTGCTACCCACACACACGTGCACACACGCACACGTGTGCACACACACACGTGCACACAGACACGCACGTGGATCGACAGCTATCGCCGAGTAAAAGTAAAGGGATGTTAGCCCTGACCGGGAATCGAACCTGAGGATCCGGGAATGTGTGAGTTTGTCTGTAAAAAGCACTCGGCAACGATCCGAGTCAAAACATCACCATTATTTCCTCCTCCTCCTCCTCCTCAAATGAGCAATGAGCCCTGAATCAGTGGTGGACATTCCACGTTCATATGACGGGCGGCGAGTCCGTCCAGAGGACATAATCAACGTTGAACTTCGCCACGAAGTGGTACGCGTGTTTTTTTTTATCGACCCCTGAAGGGATGATGGGCTTAGAATCCAGCCACCTCCCTCGCCCTACCAGGAGTTGAACTCGCGTTATCTTCCAGTACGCAAGCCGCTCGCTCTCCTGCAGAGGCAACTCGGCCCCGTAGGTGATGTGGTCTGTGACGTATCACTGATCCCTATAAGGCATTCCACCTATGCAACGTGCATACCGCGCTTTCACACACACACACAGGCGCATTGATGTTAGCGAGCACCTAGTAAGGTTGCTGAATTACACGCGAGGTGTAACTCTGAACCGCCGTGCCCGATCACCTTTGTTCCCCCCATTCCTGATGGATTTGTTTTTATATGTATATATATGCATATACTCATTTAAGGCTGAGTCGATTTAGAGGAATCCCAGGGCCGATTTAGATATTCGCCACTGGTGTTGCTCGCGAGCGGGAATCGAACCCGTGTGGCCAGGTCCCCGTCTCAGTGAGCTAAAGCACTCTGCGACCGCTCCCCACATTGCACACAGACACATGCATACAATCTTGATTTGATCATGCATACAGTCTGCACATTTACGCCGCAGTGAATACATGTGCACATACTGTTAAAATTGTACAAAGACAAAGGTCCCCCGTGTAGCCTGACAAGAACCTTTGGGGGCAAGTGCTCTTCAACGAGCGCCTATGAAGGCCGACACAGCACACGCAGTCACGCGCATGCACAGATACACAACAAAGACACACACGCACAACAATATTGTACACAAATACACATACGTACGTACGTGCGGTGACATTTTTAGATTATATACACGCAGACCCACTCAAGTATGAACACAAAAGACAAAGACCTCCCGTATAGCCTGGAACAGACTGTTGGGGCAAGTGCTGTTAGCGAGTAGCACCGACACAAATACACACACACGCATACACACACGCGCATACACACATGCGCACACCACTTTCACAGTTTATTGCCCTCCCCTCGCACCTCCGATTAGCGCGGTTGGCTTCGTACGGTGCGAAAGAAGTTAAACATACGCACACAAAAAAACAAAGATAAAGATCCCCCGTATAGCCTTAACAGACTGTTGGGGCAAGTGCTGTTAGCGAGCACCGATGAAGGACGGCACAGCGCACGAGGGGGTGGGTGACCAGGACCATGCCCGGCCGCATTTGTCTCCCCAGTGGCCATGTTTACTACACGCCGCACCACGTACTCATTTTGAGGCTGAGTAGACCTAGGGGAGGCCCGGGACCGGTTCAGATAATCGTCACTGGTGTTCGCCGTGAACGGGAATCGAACCCGAGCCGCCAGGTTCGTAGCGCAGCGTAGCGCTAACCGCTACACTACCGCTCCCCACACATACATACACACACATACATACACATACATACACACACATACATACACCCCGGCATGTGACCCCCACCTGAGTGAGGTAGCGAACCCAGTTTTATCTCCCTTCATTGGAACCCTGTCGCGATGCTGCTCGCGAAAACGCTTTCGTTGCCTCTCCGCTCTGCGTTCGGCGCTTTGTACCCGAAACTCGCGTCGAGTTGTAATAAAAACAATACAAATTGACGCACATTACAGGCCCTGCGCATACATACACACACACACATACACACATACAGACAATACTCACCTGTGTAGCCAACGCAAGTGCTGTTGGTGGCCGTGAGTGGGAATCGAACTCGGGTGGCCGGGTTTCGTTGTGCAGCGCGCAAACCGCTACACCACCGCTCCCCACCACACGCACACAGACGCACTTGCACACACACGTACACACACACACACGTACACACGCACACGTACACACGCACACGTACACATGCACACACACACGTACCCACACACAAATATCCCCGTATAGCCTTAACAGACTGTTGGGGAAAGTGCTGCTATAGCGAGCACCTACGATAAGACAGAGCGGCACACGAGGGGGGGGGTGGGAGGGTGGTCCAACACCACGCCCGGCCGTCTTTGTCTCCCTCGTGGCGACACACACACAAGTGTTGGCGGTATTTATAGCACCCCGCAACGGAGGTGTCCGCTTCTCCGTGTAATCCCGCGCAGATGCTGCTCACAATTACACAAACATTGAGTTGAAAGCGCGTCCGAAGCAAATCACGACTTTTATTTGTTTTTAACAGCCGATGACCACAGCCAGCGTCGTGGTTAGGGGCTTCTGTCGGCGCCTTGACAGGTTCACATCCCGGTCCGGCTCGAACAAGGTGATGATCATTTACGTGGGCCCCCGCTTGCGTGTCATAGCGCTTTGTGGTGCGGTGTTACAAAAAATAGGCACTGCTTCCCACGTCGAGGATGATGTGTGATGATGATGATTGTGAGAATGATGATTATGATGATTATCAAGATGATGATTATGGTGATGATGATTAAGATGTCTTCATCATCCTCACTGCCATTGTCATCGCCACGTATTCGGGTCGATAAAGTGAGCAAAGCACCCTTACCCAAGGTTCGGCATTCGGTTTGTGTTGTGGGTTAGCATCGCGCTTGCCATAGGAACGTGGACATTTCCACCGCAGGATACGTACACCACCGCATCTACGTGGGACATGAATAATGCTCCTAATACGCGCATGCAAATAAATACATACTGACAGTACATGTACTGTATAAACAAAGACAAAGATCCCCCGTATAGCCTATGACAGACTGTAGGGGCAAGGCTGTTAGCGAGCACATATAAAGGCCGGCACGGCACACGAGGGGGTGGGTAGTCAACACCACGCCCGGCCGCCTTTGTCTTACACACCGCACACCAGGTACTAATTTGAGGCTTAGTCGACCTAGGGGAGGCCCAGGACAACGGTTCAGATAATCGTCACCGGCGTTGGCCGTGAGCGGGAATCGATCTCGGGAGGCGGGGTTCATAGCGCAGCGCGCTAACCGCTACACTACCGCACACACAGACACACGCACACACACAGACACACAGACACATACAGACACACGCACACACACAGACACACACGCACACACAGACACACACGCACACACACGCGCGCTAAGCGAAGGCCCCCGTGTAGCTCCACAGACCGCTGCCAAGTGCTTTTGCTCCCGAGCTCCGCGCTGAATGGGCTTCAGAACGAGCACACCGGTCGGCTGGTGGCGTGGCCGCGTTTGTCTCCCCACTGTTGATGTTCAACATCACTCGTCGGGCACAGGACGTGTATCGAAGGCCGGGTCTCGACCCCGGGTTGGCCGGGTTTTTGTTGTTGTGTTGTAGCGCAGTGTGCTAACCGCCGCGCCACCGCTCCGCACACGCGTACAGATGCACAAACCGCACCCGCGCTACGATCGGGAGCGGGAACGAGATGCCGCCACCACAACCACCACTATCGCCACTATCACCACCACCACCACCACCACAGCCATATACATCACCACCACCACCACCACCACAACCAACACCACCATCACCACAATACCATCACACCGTTACATCCCTCATTATCACCACCACCACATCACCACCACGTCACCACCACCACATCACCACCACCACTACGTCGCTACCATTCACTGCGCTACGCCGCCACGACAAAAAAGAAGAAAAGGATGTGATGCACGTTGCATTTCATTCGCACCGCACGTAGCGAAACGTGTTGACGGATGGATGAACGAACGAAACGAATGAGGAGGAGAGAAAGAGACCCTGGGATCACGGCAGCAGCCTCTGCCGTACCACGGGACCGCGGACTTGAGAGGCGAGGCAAGGCGAGTTGGTGGGGTGGGGGGGGGGAGAGGGAACAGCGCGGGGGCACAGACGGCTGGTGCGTAAGAGCGTGAGACGAGCGTGAGTCGAGCGTGAGACGAGCGTGAAAGGGAGACAGAGAGAGAGTGAGTGAGTGAGAGAGAGAGAAGCGATGCTAAACTGAAGGTGGTTCAATTATCGCGTTTCCATGGAGTCAGCCACAGCGCGACATTGCGAGCGGACGAGTGTGGCGGCGTGGTATCAAATCCGACCGCTCCTCCATCTCTCGCTCTCTCTCTCTCGCTCTCTCTCTCCGGTTTCTCTCCTACCTCGTTCACCCCCCCCCCCCCCCCCCCCCCCCCCCCCCCCCCCCCCCCCCCCCCCCCCCCCCCCCCCCCCCCCCCCCCCCCCCCCCCCCCCCCGCTCTATTTTGCATTTCACGCCGCGTCCCCGAGACCCCTTCACCCCCCCCCACATCACCCCCACCCGCGCCCCTCCCAGCCCTGCCACCCTTCCTCCCTCCTGCCCTCCCTCCCTCTCTCCCGCCCAATCTCCCACCCCCCCCCCAACTGTCCCCTACCTACTCCTCCCTCCTCCCCCTTCATTCTCCCTCCCTCCCTCTCTGCTCCCCCACCCCCCGCACCACTCCCAACCCCTCCACGTACCCCTCCTCCCTGCGTGCTCCCCCCTCCTCCCCCTCTAACACACCCATACCCCCCCCCCCCCATGCGCGCGCACACACAGCGAGATATACACGTGCGTGTGCCAGTCGCGGGACACTGACTGCCGAGTGAGAGAGGGGAGGAGAGAAGCTGGGGAGAGCCAGATAGCAAGAGAGTGAGAGAGAGAGCAAGTGAGAGAGAGAGACAGAGAGAGAGAGCCAGAGAGAGAGAGAGAGACAGAGAGACGCGCCACAATACAGAAGGGGGAGCATTTATAGAGGCGACCAGATTCAATAATCGCGTCTCTCCGAAGACGTGGAGCGTTGACGAGGAGAGAGCGCGAAAGACACCGAGAGAGACGAGAGAGACGAGAGAGCGAGCGAGCGAACATCCTTCTCGCTTCGAGGTCCTATTCTCGGAGCTCGTGTAGAGACTTCAGCCGCGGCCCACGTCAGCCGTACGCCGCGCGCGTGCTCGTTACACGGCGCGCGTGCGCGTGAACACACCGCGTGCACACACGGGCAACGCGCGTGGTTCGTCGCGTACGTGGCCTTGAATCCGTCTTGCCGCTTCTGTGACGTCTCTCTCTCTCGCTCGCTCTATCTCGTGCCACAATCTCCCTGTCGCGAGGGACTCGAGCGAGTGGGCGAGGAGGAGAAGGAGGAGAAGGAGCGATGTTTCCACGTTCCATCGCCCCCACCATCACCACCACCACCATCGCACCGGACCGTGCCACGCCGCCGCTTAGCTAAAACTCAAAGCGCGAAGAGAGAAGAGGCGAAAGAGGCCAGAGAGAGAGAGGGGAGCCAGTTTGTTCGGAGAAGCGACTTTGACAAGCGCGAGAAGAGAGTGTCGCTCCGCGCGCGCGCGCGAGCGAGAGAGAGAGACGACGACGTCAAGAGACACTCTCAAGACGCTCCGTTGTTCGCGGTTACAAACCCGCCGCTGGAACTTCGCGAAACCCGGACCAGACATCTCCTTGAAGTGTCGCGTCCGCGTCGGCTGCTGCTCGCTGCTACTGCTGCTGCTGGCGGGGCCAAGCCGGGCTGCGCGGCCTCGCTGTACGGACAGAATGGTTCACTGCGCTGGCTGTGAGAGACCCATACTCGACCGGTTTCTGCTCAACGTCCTAGACCGTCCGTGGCACGTGAAGTGCGTCCAGTGCTGCGACTGCAAATGCCATCTGAGCGAGAAGTGCTTCTCCCGCGACGGGAAACTCTACTGCAAGAGCGACTTTTTCAGGTACCGGGGTCGTGGCCGTGGTTGGTGATCAAGGTGGTGGTGGTGGTGTTGATGGTGGAGATGATCAAGGTGGTGGTATTGATGGTGGAGATGATCAAGGTGGTGGTGGTGATGATGATCAAGGTGGTGGTGGTGGTGGAGATGATCAATGTGGTGGTGGTGATGATGATCAAGGTGGTGGTGGTGGTGGAGGAGATGATCAATGCGGTGATTGTGGTGGTGATGAATGTAGTGTTTGTTATTATTGTGGTGAAGATGGTCTCAAAGTTTCACCTGGCCTGGCACAAGCTGTCATTCGCCACTTCGTGGCAGCTGTTGATGATCAAGGTGGTGAATGTGGTAGTGATAGAGGTGATTCAGGTGGCTGTGGTGGTGGAGATGATCGGTGTGGTGGTGGTGGTTATTATTGTGGTGATGATCGAGGTAGTAGTTGTAGCGTAGTTATTATTGTGATGATCATAGTGACGATCAAGTTGGTTGATGGTGATGGTCGTGATAATAATTATGGTCGCGTGGTTATCACGATTATAATCAATGTGCACCTACTGCTCGCGATGAGTCTGGCTCTTGGTGCTACTGATGATGATGATGAGTGTTCTGATAGGAATGATGATGATGGTGATGATGAGAGTGCCGCTAATGAAGGTGGTGGTGATTTTTCTGTTGGGTATGTTGGTGATGATGATTGTTCTGATAGGAATAATGATGATGATAATGAAAGTGCCGCTGATGATGGTGGTGGTGATTTTTCTGGTGGGTATGTCGGTGGTGATGATGATGATGATTGTTCTGACAGGAATAATGATGATGATAATGAAAGTGCCGCTGATGGTGGTGGTGATTTTTCTGGTGGGTATGTTGGTGATGATGATGCTGATGAAGGTCGTGGTGGTGGTGGCTGTCCTGGTACAAGCCCTGTCTCGTAATCTCCCGTCGACTCAGTGTCGCCGCCGTCTCCCGTCTCGTCACGACGCTTTCCCCTCCGCGCCGCTTGCCACTGACGAGCGCCCGCGCGAAATTCGCCACGAGCCTCTGCCCAGCGATTCCCCATCGCCAACTCGCGCCACTGCGGCTGGCTGGCAGCGACTTACTCGAAGGACTCTGGTTGCGCGGCTAGGACTGTGAAAAAATGTTTTAAACATCTCCCGTGTAGCCCTCAACGGAACCGCCGCGGGGAAAGTGCCGTTGTGCCCGCGAGGCGTTCGCCTTCATCGACGCCACGCACGGCCGCCTTTGTCTCCCCGCGGTGTACTTTTGTGTCGAGGTTAAAGGGGAGGGAACCCAGGGCACCAGTCGTGAGCGCAGCCATCTAGCTCGGTAGAGCGGTGCGCCAGCCACAGCAGCGACGTTACAACCCCGACACACAAAGATAGCCCCCCTCCTCCCCCCCCCCGTATCGCCTTACACAGACTGTTGAGGCGAGTGCTGTTAGTGAGCAGCAACTATGAAGGCCGGCACGACAGTGGTCTCTCCACAACGCACAGCACACACACATCACCTACCCACCGTTACCAGCGACACACACACACACATCACCTACACACCGTTACCAGCGACACACACACATCACCTACCCACCGTTACCAGCGACACACACACACACACATCACCTACCCACCGTTACCAGCGACACACACACACATCACCTACCCACCGTTACCAGCGACACACACACATCACCTACCCACCGTTACTAGCGACACACACACACATCACCTACCCACCGTTACCAGCGACACACACACACACATCACCTACCCACCGTTTACCAGCAACACACACACACGCGCGCGCGCACTTGCATTATAACATTAACATTTACATACGCACACACACATATACATACACACAAACACACATATACATACATACACACAAACACACATATACATAGCGGATGCACGGTGAGCGAGAATCGTTCCGCTATCTGTGGGCTTCAGCGTCACACTCCACGGAAAGCGAACAGTCGACATCGTCGGCTATATTCATGGAATAGATGCGATTTTCAGATTTGTATCTTCTTGTGGCATATATATGTACACATCGGAGGGTTAATGTTGGGCGTAAATTCATTGACCAAGAGCATTTGCAACATTGATATAAGTGAATGGTCGTGTGTGCGTGAGTTCCATTCCCGATCACGGCCGACGCCCGACGACGATGATTATGTGAACTCGTCCTGGGTATCGCCTAGGTCGACTCAGCCTCAAATTAGTTTACCTGGATCCAGCTGTGTGTGAGCATCGCCACGAGGGAGACGAAGGAGGGGGTGTGGGGGGGTGCTCGCGTAGCCGTGCCGGGTTCCATTCACATTCACGAGCGCACGCTAAAAGCGATTGCCCCAACAGTCTGTCGTGAAGGGCCTTAGATCTTTGTCTAGAGGGTGAGTTTTTGTCTTTTTGTTAAACATACGCATGAACACTGTATGTTGCGCGCCCGAGCATGTCTATGTACATATATGTTCACGGGTGTGTGTCCATGCGCTTTGTTGAGCGTACGTGTTCACGCGCGTCATACGTACACACGTGTGCGTTTGTATGTATGTATGTGTAATTTATTCACACGTGTTGGTTGCGTGTACACGTGTGCGCGTGTGTAAATCAATGACGCACACGTGTTGGTTGTAAGTGCGCGCGTCTACACACGCGTAATTATTCCACACATGTTAGTTGTATGCACGCACGCGTGTAAAATATTAGTGGCACATTTGAACTGCGCAGCGCACACGAACCACGTGATGGCCACGCTTGCATTCCGCCAAGACGTCTGCTGTTGATATTAACAAAGATAACATTGTCAACGATAATATTACCAACGATAATATTGCACGTCAATTTACATATTACCACGTGACACAGCGACGCTCAACAATAAATATGATTAGCCCTGCGTGTTGGGATGTGCAGTGTTGTGTATCAACGAAAAACACAAATCGTGTGAAATCGTTTTTTTATTATAATTGTTGTTCGTTTCCTAACTTTGTTTATTGCAAATTTAAGTCCGTATTACGACAGCAACAACTATGTGTGTAAACATACGTGGTTTTAAAATGTCATTTCAATATACAGTACACTATATATGCATATATTTTGCAGATTAACAAAGCACTGATTTTCTCATGCAGCAGTGGATTGATCATGGCTGATGACGATGATTGATTGATGACTGATGGATGATGTGATTAAGAGAAACCCGGACATTGATTTAAAAGAAACCGGTTTAATATTCACGTGTTAATTTAATTTCACTTGTATTGTACGGACATAGACGAAGCCAGGTTAATTTCGTTAATTAAGTGTGAGAGTTAACAGCGGTCACAGTGGTGTGACAGTTAACAGAGGTTACCATGGTGTGACAGTTAACAGAGGTCACCGTGGTGTGACAGTTAACAGAGGTTACCATGGTGTGATAGTTAACAGTGGTCACCGTGGTGTGACAGTTAACAGAGGTCACAGTGGTGTGACAGTTAACAGCGGTCACCGTGGTGTGACAGTTAACAGCGGTCACCGTGGTGTGACAGTTAACAGAGGTCACAGTGGTGTGACAGTTAACAGAGGTCACCATGGTGTGACAGTTAACAGAGGTCACCGTGGTGTGACAGTTAACAGAGGTCACCGTGGTGTGACAGTTAACAGAGGTCACCGTGGTGTGACAGTTAACAGCGGTCACAGTGGTGTGACAGTTAACAGCGGTTACCGTGGTGTGACAGTTAACAGTGGTTACCATGGTGTGACAGTTAACAGAGGTCACCGTGGTGTGACAGTTAGCAGAGGTCACAGTGGTGTGACAGTTAACAGAGGTCACAGTGGTGTGACAGTTAACAGAGGTTACAGTGGTGTGACAGTTAACAGAGGTCACAGTGGTGTGACAGTTAACAGAGGTCACAGTGGTGTGACAGTTAACAGAGGTCACAGTGGTGTGACAGTTAACAGAGTTTACCGTGGTGTGACAGTTAACATCGTCGTAGTAAACATCGCCCGCTAGGGAGACAAAGGCGGCCGGGCGTGGTGCTAGCCACCCACCCCCTCGTGTGCCGTGCCGGCCTCCATAGGTGCTCGCTAGCAACACTTTCCCCAACAGTCTGGTCAGGCTATACGGGGGATCTTTCTCTTTGTTTGTTGTTGTTATTGTGTATTGTTATATGTTGTGTTGTATATTTGTACGTACGTGTGTACATTCGCGTGCACGTGTGTGTACGTATGGCGGCGTGGGGTGTAAGGGTTACCGTGGGGAGCGGTGGCGCGGTGGTTAGCGCACGGGCGCTCACGACCAACAACAGTGGCGGATATTAGAACCGACTGCGGACCTCCCCTAGGTCGACTCAGCGTGTGAATGCTTTAGCATTGAATGGGGAGACCGATCCGGTCGGGCGAGCTGCATGCCGTGCCACCCTCTGGCGTGCCGCCCTCTGGCGTGCCACCGCCTGGCGTGCCGTGCCACCCTCTGCCGTGCCGTGCCACCCCTTGGCGTGCCACCCCTTGGCGTGCCGTGCCACCCCTTGGCGTGCCGTGCCACCCCTTGGCGTGCCACCTCTGCCGTGCCGTGCCACCCCTTGGCGGCCGTGCCACCCTCTGCCGTGCCACCCTCTGCCGTGCCGTGCCACCCCTTAGCGTGCCACCCTCTGCCGTGCCATGCCACCCCTTGGCGTGCCGTGCCACCCTCTGCCGTGCCGTGCCACCCCCTGGCGTGCCGTGCCACCCTCTGCCGTGCCACCCTCTGCCGTGCCGTGCCACCCTCTGCCGTGCCACCCCCTGGCGTGCCGTGCCACCCGTAATAGGCGCTCGCTCACACGTTCCCCAACAGTTTGTTAATGGCTCCATGGGGTGACCTTTGTCTTTATGTAAGTGTGCGTGTGTGAGAGTGTCTTTGTCTTTGTATGGCGAGCGGTGGGGTTAGCGGTTAGCGCGCTGCCCCGCGAACCCGGCGACTCCGCGAGTTCGTATTCCGCACGCGGCCAACATTATCCGGCGCTCATCGGGAACGGCGATTCTTCGATTGTA